AGAAAAAGAAAGAGAATTTTTATCAGGCTTTACCCTTCAGTAATTATCAAATGTCAAACGTCATAATTAGTAGTTATTAATTACTTTTGAATTTTGCGTTTTAATATTTCAATCTCTTAGTTTGTTATTCGCAAAAATAAATATTCTCTCGAACGACATTTTTTAATCATAAATAATATTTATTAAATAGCCGGAAAGAGTAAAAATGCAGCAAAATGGAATGAACAAAGTACTATCTTCTCACATCGTAGCGTGAAAACTGTTTCGAAAGCTCCAGTTTCGTGTTTCGACTGACATCTCCAAGTCGCCTTGAGAGCGAGCCCTTCTTGTCCAGCGTAAAACTACGCGCCTCCTGGACGTTGCAAACGAGCGATTCTAGCGTCGAGACGGGAACTTTGCGTTCGCTCTGTCGGGGACGCGTTATTTCGTGACTCTTGCTTCGCTGGGGCGGCGCTGGTTTCTGCGCTTTTCCGTCCTGCTCTTTTATCGGATGCAGCTTGCGCAGACGATGGCAAACTGTCGCACTAGAGAGCACAGTTACACTTCAAGTCGACGTCGGTCGCACTTACGCAGGCCACTGATGGATGATATTCAAGTTGCCATTGGCGTCGCCCGCCATCTTCGTCTTCGGCGGCAACATAACATTACTCTCCTCCTTCATCAAATACTCATTTTAGGTCAAAACATGCGTTTATTCCACGAAAATTGTACATAAACTGCAAGAGCAAAAAAATAATTTAATACGTTCTTTGCGTAAGATTCGCCAAGACTTTGTATTTGTTCTGACCCAAACGTGGCTTGGAGTGGTCTCCAAATTATGGTCTTTTTACTGTATTCTGTGCTCGGCACGGGGAGTTGAAAGTTGTATAGGCCAAATATGCCCGGATTTTCAAAATGATAACATTCAAAACATGCGCAGCTTGCGAGAAATTATGATGAAAGGGATAGAAACTTGTCTTGAAATTCAATAAACGAGTACGTTTAAAATTAGCGATAATGAGCATGCGAAAAAGATGCGTCAAAATAAAAGTGGCTGTTTTTGACGAAAATTTTCTTATCAAAAATTATATTTGTTAAAGATATCAATATTATAAGTACTGGAATTTCTCCGGCACCTAGAGGAGTTCAAAAAAAGTGAGCTTCTCGTTTTATTCATTTTGATGCAAATATTGCGACTTTTCTCAATGAATGGTTTAGTCATGCGGCATCACTGATGCCTTAATTGAACATGGAAAGTACAAAGATGAAAAAACTGCAATTGCAGTGTGTCCTTGGCGCGAGAGGTGGTTGGATGGTCACCGTTGACTGTGTAAATATTTTACAAATTCTCGGGCGGAGTTTTTAGCATTTTGAACGGGAGATTTGCTCTACATTGTAGAGTCTACATCATATCACATTTTAATTAAAAAATGCAAGTTTCAACGCATCCAAAAGAATTGACAAGAGAAGCTGTTGAGAAATGGCTGGAAGATTTTAAAAAGAAATTGAAAAGAACGACAAGCAGAGATGATTTGGACAGATTGATTTTGTCGGTGGAGAGAAAAGATTTTAAATATCATTCTTATGCTGACTGGGAGGCGGCTATTTTTGAAAATGGAAAAGTCTCGTTTCCGAATAAATGGCGAGAAAATGGGGGGCTAACCAAAATCAGTAAGTCTGGAGCTAGGACATGACACCGTAGAACCAAATAAGAAAGTATCATACATTCAAGGACCGAATAAGAAAGTATCATACATTGAAGAACGGAATAAGAAAGTATCATACATCGAAGGATCGAACTATAATGGAAATCCAATCCAAGAACGATGCAAAATTGGATCGGGCATACATTTGAAAATCCATACGGATGGGTTTCTTATAGGCCGGTAGGCCTAATACGGCAATCTTATTGGTTCCAAAAAATGTGATCCTTTAATGCATGATACTAATCTAATTTGGTACTTGAATGTATGATACTTTCTTGTTCCGTTCTTGGATGTCCCGTCCTAGCTCCAAACTTACTGATTTTGGTTTGAGCCTAAAATGGGCAATAACTTCATTTCAAAAAATGATCCTCGACAAGAATCCGCAACTAAACGGTCGAAAAATAAAACGCTCAGAACTTAAAGAAGAAACCGGAGAATGGACTATCGACGAATTTCTTCAGCGAAAATTAATTTCAGCTGGAGGAGAAGCGATTGTTTTGGAAGAAAAATTTGGAGAATTGAAAGTTGCGGTTCGGGTTCAGGCTTTTGACTCGGCGCTTTTTACGGGGAAGACTGAAGAAATGGAATATGAAATTAATCTTTCCAATGGTATTTATATTTTCTTAAAATAGTTTCTCCTTTTTAAGACTACGATACCGCTGATAACGACGAAAAAGATGACGCTGAAGTTATTCCTGTCCATCCAAACGTGATTAAAAACTTCTGCAACATCGAAATTTTCTCGAGAAAAGACGAGAAAAGACACGACTGCCTTGGATGGATTACGATTATGGAGAAATGCGACTCAGATTTGAGAAGCAGATTGAAGAAAGAAGATTTGAGCTTGGAAGAGAGGAAGAAAATTGCGATTGGAGTGAGAGCGGGATACGAGTATATGGAGAGCATTGGAATTTGGCATCGCGATCCGAAGCCGGAAAATATTTTATTGAAAAATGGAGAATGCAAATGGATTGATTTTGGAACTATTTCGGAAAAAACTGGAAGAGAGAGCTATCGAAGAATGGGCTTCGCGAGGGAAGGGAGCAAATATAGAGATTATAGCTATTTATGTAAGTTAAAAATTGAAATTAGTTGAAAATAATTTGCTCGTGTGTTTATTTTTTCTCAGATGCTGGATCTGCTGCCTTTTCGGAAAGTATTCAACTTTGTGAAGGAGGAGGAGGAGGAAGTTCACCACTTCACGTTTTCATTCTTTGTGATTGGAAGACAGCGTGGAGTCTTCTTTTTAAACCGATCGAAGGAGACGAAAGAGATAAAATTAAAGAAGAACTAAAGGTACGAGCTCGTTTCTGCGGACTAAACCAATTTTTGGAAGTGTATATTTGGATTCCCAATAAGATTGCTGTATTTGGCCTACCGGCCAATAAAAACCCTTTCCATAAAATTTAGTTCCAAAAATTGGTTTTACCCGTTTCTGCAATTAAAGAAACATTTCAAGTCGTGCAATGCTCAGTGGCTCCCAAGACGGATTCCATCAACCGAAGAAATCAAAAACTTGTCAAAAATCATATCTTTAAAAAACGCGTCTTCTGCTTTTTGCCTCGATGATCCTTATTTGACAAAGTCTTCGGCAATGGCCAATCTCAAACAGAAACTGACAAGACAAATCAATTTCGACTTCAAAAATGTGACGAAAAATGTTTTAAATCAGAAAGAAAGCAATCTTTGTGTTCCCATTTCGGTTTCTGTTCTTTTGAGATGGGCGGCCAAAAATGATTTGAAAACTGATCATTGGAAAATGGAAGGATATTTTACTCTCGAAAAAATCTTCACAAAACTGACGATGATAATTTATCCGCGCAGTTTGGCTGGTTTCAATCTAAACCCGAAAAAAGAAGAACAAGAATTTCAAACAAACGAAATTGAATTGCTTCTTAGAAGAATGAAGTTCAGAACTTATTTGAAAGAAAGTGGATGGGAAATTGTAAAACCCATCTCGATAAACGCGAACTTTGATTTTGAAAGAGGTTTTTATAAATAGCTAAATTCACCAGTCATAAAATATCTAGTCCTCCTCCATCATAACTTCGCGTTCACCCGCCCCTTAACCGTTACCGGCTGTTACCTGAATCCCGACGGTTCAATAATATTCCACCAAATGGTGCTGGACCGAATCGAAAACTCCGAATTCATTCTCCAAAACACTTTAATCGACCTTTCCGGCTCTCAAATCAGAATTCCTCTTTCCAGAGAATTCAATGCTTCTGAAGAAATGATGAAAGATTGCTACAACTGCCACAACGATTTTGTATATTTTGGAGACAACAACGAGTATTTAGAGTTAGTCAACGAACAATTTAACATGGAAAAAGAAAAATGGTATCTCCTGCCTCAAGCTTACTCAATTACTCTTACTAAAACTCAAAAAGATTCAGAAAGCTCTGAAAGTTCGATTGACGATGATGATTCAGAAAACCAGGTAAAATTCAATTAAGCTTTTATATTCTAGTTTTTAACATAAGATGTTCGACAAAGGAAATTCTGAAGATTATTGGAGCAGTGACGAATAAATTTTGAAGAAACTTAAATCATCTTTATCATATAACTATGTTGATTATATCATATTTTTGGTTAAAATAAAGAAAGAAGGAGAATTTTTATCAGTCTTTATTCTGCAGTAATTATCAAACGTCATAATTACTTTTGAATTTTGCGTTTTATTCTCTCAATTCCTTAGTTCGTTTTTCGCAAAAATAAATATTCTCTCAGACGACACTTTTAGTTATAAATAATATCTATTAAAGAGCCAGGAAAAAGAAGAAATGCAGCAAAAATAAATGAACAAAGTACTATCTTCTCACATCGTAGCGTGAAAACTGTTTCGAAAGCTCCAGTTTCGTATTTCGACTTACATCTCCAAGCCGCCTCGAGAGCGAGCCCTTCTTGTCCAGCGTGAAGCTCCGCGCCTCCTGGACGTTGCAAACGAGCGACTCCAGCGTCGAAACGGGAACTTTTCGTTCGCTCTGTCGGGGGCGCGTTATTTCGTGGCTTTTGCTTCGCTGGGGCGGCGCTGGTTTCTGCGCTTTTCCGTCCTGCTCTTTTATCGGGTGCAGCTTGCGCAGACGATGGCAAACCGTCGCACTAGAGAGCACAGTAATAATTCAAGTCTGCATCGCTCACACTTACGCTGGCCACTGATGGATGATATTCAAGTTGCCATTGGCGTCGCCCGCCATCTTCGTCTTCGGCGGCAACATAACATTACTCTCCTCCTTCATCAAATACTCATTTTAGGTCAAAACATGCTTTTATTCCACGAAAATTGTACATAAACTGCAAGAGCAAAAATATAATTTAATACGTTCTTCGCGTAAGATTCGCCAAGACTTTGTATTTGTTCTGACCCAAACGTGGCTTGGAGTGGATCTCTTTGCTTGTGTGCGATTGCCGTGGCGATTGTTTTGATACTTTTTCCAGGTAAGAAATTATGGCCTTTTTACTGTTTACTGAGCTTGGCACCCTGTGTAGAAAACCTGAGTCAGGGTCCGAAAAAGCTGAAACTAAAGCCGCGCAGCGGCTTCTTTTAAAAACGAAGCCGCGAAGCGGCTTTGCTTATATATTTTTCTATTAAATACTGGCGAAGCCGCTCTGCGGCTTCGTTTGCAAAAAAGCCGCGGTGCGGCTTTTGTTTTAGACTTTTCAGACCATGACTCAGGTTTTCTCCACAGGTTTCCTAGCGCAGCTACTGTATCTCCATCTTGAAAATGATTTAAATTCTTACCCCTGCCTTGTATTCTCGGCGAGTTAAGTTTCCCTGGTGAGAGTTGGAGGCGATCGTTATTGCATATTAGCTTTTTCATATTCAATGGCTTCATTATGATCCTGTTCAGCGGCATTGCGTGCTGCTCTCCTGAATTCCATGTTAATCTCCCTTTCCCAATAATGACTTTACCTTTTGACGAGCGCTGCATCAGAAGATCGGAAAGGCGTTTCTTGAGTTCGATAGGATCCACTGGAGCCGAGAATTGTTTATGCTGTGTTATGTCTAAATCCGAAATCAAGGAAGAGAATGAAAACCGAAAACTTACCGGGAATTACTTTTTGCTTATCATTGCTGTGTGGTATCTTTGCTGAAGCTGTTCGATTTTTCGTCTTTGATTCTGAGAATTTGCGCGATCGATTCGCCGCCGTCTGGTTTGGCGGGTTCGGCTTTGGTCGACGCTTTTTCGGAATCAGCACGACCGGCGGGTCGAAATTAGACGGCCGCTTCCACGGACCAAACTCAGTGTAGCACTCTTCTTCTTGAGGCATCCATTTTAGTTTACACAGACGCTTTGAAATCTCCACCACCATCTATCAAATAAATTATATTTTTGTCAATGGTTATCGAAACTGACCTTGGGTACGGCAGCTTCCATTCGCTCCTTTAGCTCTTTTACGTCCGTTATTTTCGAGTAGTCATAAGGATTGTCCATGTCCTGGGAGTTGAGTAACGGCAGCTCTCGTAGCAGACGATAGTTTTCACCTTGTTTTCCATAGATATCTAAGAATTGCTTGGTAAAGGTTCTATGAGTATTCTTACGTATGTCAGGCTCCTTGTTGGAAGACTCGCTCTGCTCCATGAGTTCGATCAAGTCTTCTTCTCTTTGACACATATCCATGTAGAAATTTACGATGCTGCTTTTATCCTCTGATCCTTGGACTTCTTTGGCGGACCTTTTCTTTTTGACGCTCTCCTTGTTAATGATTATGGTCTGTACTTTTGACGCAGTCTTACCTTGATGGTCCGCCGTCGCGGCCCATTTTCATTTTTCATTTTTCTTTTTATGTGACCGCGTTCTTTTCTAGGTCAAATTCATAAAAAGGCTCCTTCTCTGATTCTTTTATTTCAACTAATGAATTTTCACCTAAAACAACAAGTGTTCCAAGGTGTTCTAGAGAAATCTAAGTCGACCTTATGAATCTTTATTTAACCAAATCATTGCAAATTCAGTGTCATCAAAAAGGTATGAGGCCGTCAGCAGACAATGGTACTATCAATTAGCTTATCTTCTGTGCTTATTTTTGCTTGTTTAATTATTCAAGTATTCAACCAATTATGGGAAGGTACTGAAGCTGCTCGCAGTAAAATATTTATTCCGCTGAAAGAGATTATAGTTATCTCTTCACAGATCGGTATTTTTGTCAAATAGAAGAGAAAAATGTGCCTTCCTGTCAAACCAGGTATGAAGATGGAAGTTCTTGAGGATTTCTAATTACAGTCAATTTCATGGTAGGAGATCATACAACGAGAGTTTCATTCTTCGAAGCCCACACTCATTCCATGACCCGTTTGCTTTTCTTGCCTCTGATTCTTATTGCTTTGCTGTTCGTAAGTAAACCCACTAAAGCACAAGCAGTACTTGAGATTAAGTTTGGAATGGTAATTTCACATTGGGCTTACAGAAGAAAATTGAAAATGGAGAAGTCTACTTCCACACATTCCGTTTTCACCACTACAATCGATTAGTATTTCTAAAGAAAAATCCTTGTAATAAAATTTTTGAAAGCTCTTGCAAGCTTTTTTTCACCCATTGTTTTTTGAAAAGCAGTTTGGTTTCACCGCGGGGCGAGCGTAAGAGTCATCAATTTGAGTAAATATTTCACATTCTGTAACCGATCGAGAGAATAAATCAAATGAAGAATTGAACGGTGATTTGAAGAGGCAAAAAATGGTAGAAGAGAGCAAAATTTCGTTTCTCAGCAAACTTAGTTTTTTCTCCTCGATTGGTGGGCTTTTATTTGGCTATGATACAGGGGTTGTTTCTGGGGCGTTACTCTTAGGAACGATTTGAAATCGGGGTTAATTTAACGGTGGATGATTGAAATGAAAATCGGAAAAAAGTAACCGAGGAATTCAAATTGACAACGATCGAGCAAGAACTGGTGGTAACATCGACGATCGCGTTCGCGGCAATATTCTCCCTTGCGGCTGGTTTTCTCAATGCACAATTGGGACGCAGATTGACCATTATTATTTCATCCTTTCTATTTGCTCTTGGTTCAGTATGCATGGCTGCTTCTTCTGGATTCGCAACATTGATGATTGGAAGAGCGATTGTTGGAACTGGTCTGGGAGTATCTTCCATGTCGATTCCGCTGTATTTATCCGAATGTGCGCCGTCGGATGTCAGAGGCAAAATTGTGACTGTAAATAACCTCTCGATCACGGGCGGTCAACTTATCGCTGCTCTCATCGACGGGGCATTTAGTAAAGTCCCTGGTGGTTGGCGCTGGATGCTCGGTCTTGCCTTCATTCCTGCTGTGATACAGTTCTTGGGCTTCATATTTCTTATGCCGGAATCCCCCCGTTACATCATCGAGCACAAAACATACTACGAAGCAAAAGAAGTCCTTGCCAAGATTCGAGCTGACGATGACGTCGATGAAGAGCTCGACGAGATGAAGCGGGAAGTAGAATTGAACAAGCACTCGAATTGGCGCGATCTTTTCAAAACAAAAAATGGAAGACACGCGAGTTTCATCGGATGTTGCCTGCAATTATTCCAGCAGCTTGTCGGGATAAATACGGTCATGTACTACAGTGCGACTATTATTTACATGTCTGGAATGGTAACAAATCCATCCGCTGCAATCTGGCTCGCCGCACTTACAGCTTCAGTTAATTTCGGCGCCACTCTCATCGGCTTGTTTTCGATAGAGCGAATCGGTCGTCGAATTCTAGCTCTCATTTCTGTCGCTGGGAGCTTTGCTAGCCTTCTTTTACTCTCAGGTGGCTTTTACTGGAACGATTCTCTGGAAGAAAAAGTCACGAGCAATGGAACGGACGCACACTGCAACTCTTACTTCAATGAAATTTGTGGAAATTGCGTTTCCGACGCCTCCTGTGGATTTTGCTCTCAAAACGGCGTACAAAGCTGTCTACCAGTCAACCAATCGACTTGCACAAATGATAATGGCTCGTTTTGGTCGGAAGAGTACTGCCCAAAAACTACTGCTTCGTGGATGCCTCTTCTCGGCATGATTTTATATTTGTTTTTCTTCGCGTCTGGAATGGGACCCGTTCCATGGGCAGTCAACTCCGAGATTTTTCCGCATAGTTGTCGGGAGGCAGGGATAGCCTTGTCAACTACAGGAAAGGGGTTTGTTTTTCAGCAATTAACAGTTCATATGGGACTTTTTATTGAATTATATTCACAAAATCAAACCCATAAAAGTCAACTGGCTCTCCAACTGCATCATCTCTCTGACTTTTTTATCCTTACTCGAAGCGGTCGGAACAGCTGGCGGATTTCTAGTGTACTCAATCTTCGCACTAGTAGCTCTTATCGTCTTGTTCTTATTTCTTCCCGAAACAAAAAGCGTGCCGCTAGAAGACATCGCCGAAGTCCTCGAAGAAGGATGGATCGTTCCTTTCAAAAGAAGCTGCAATCCAGAAGAAAACGACTTACAGGTCTTAGTTGATGACACTGACGACTGATCTCACAAAATCGCATTTAAAATTGATCGCCAACAAACAGTTCATGCACAAACTTATTTTCCTTTCAATAAAATTTCTTCATACAAGATTTTTTTTGTATATTTAAAATTATAAGCTATTACTTATTTACTAATTAAGTAAATTTGCTTTATTGGAATCATCAGTAAAAAATTTAAGAAGACTTGCTGACTAAAGTTTCTTCGGCCTTTTACCGAGATTTGGCCTGTCACTGTTGGAAGAAGTTTCAGAATTTCTTTTTCCCGTGACCTTAATAGTTTAATGAGCTTTTGAAAGCGAGAATAAATAAGGTAGAACCTGGTTTGGAGTTAGAGTTATTAAATACGCTTGTGGCAGGAGATACCACTTTTCTATTTTCATATTGAAATTTTCGTTGACCAAAGAAAAAGACTCGTTGTTGTCTCCATAATATACAAAATCGTTGTAGCAGTTGTAGCATTCTTTCATCATTTCTTCTGAAGCGTAGAATTCGCGAGAAAGAGGAATTCGGACTTGAGAGCCAAAATGGTCGATTAAAGTGTTTTGGAGAATGAATTCGGAGTTTTCGATTCGGTCAAGCACCATTTGGTGGAATAATATTGAGCCGTCGGGATTGAGGTAACAACCGGTGACGGTTAAGGGACGGGAGAAGGCGAAGTTGTGATGCAGGAGAACTAGAAATGTGATGAATAATTAGTTTGACTCTTTAAAACCTTTTTCATAATCAAATTTCTGTTCTCTGTAAATGTATTTTATACTATCCCATCCACTTTTATTCAAAAAGTTCTGAACTTCATTCTTCTGAGAAGCAATTCGATTTCGTTTTCTTGAAACTGTTGTTCTTCTTTTTCGGGTTGAGATTGAAGCCAGCCAAACTGCGTGGATAAATTACCATTGGGACGGAAAAATATAAATTTTCGGTTTTGACAAAATGTCGAAAACGTAACATTTTCAAAATTCTAAAAGTGCAGTTATCTCAAGCCTGAACTGCGATTCAAGAATTTTGAAAAAATTTTGTGATTTCATTATTACGAAGCGTGGGCGGCGCGATCTAAGAAAAAGTTATGAACTCGCCTAGGGACCAGGCGTACTTATTTTTCAGATTTTTTAGACTCAATTATTCTCTATGATCCAAGGATTGTCACAATTGCTTCAGATCGAAAATTGCTCATCGCAATCCTGAAATATTGCGTAATTTGTTATTTTCTCGTATAAACTATTAAATTATTAAACCAATACTAATTATATTGAATAAATGGCCATGCTCGGCCGTTATATGGCCACTTATGGTCGAATTCGGTCGAGTCTGGCCGGAGGACTTCCCGGAGGACCACCCTGGTGGAAAACTAACTGCTGGAAGACCAATATTAAAAAAAAATAATAAATAGCCTAAGAGGAACAATTATTGCCACTTTTGTCGAGCTTTGGTCATTTTCTGCCGGAGGACCTCCCGGAGGACCAACCTGGTGGAAGACTATCTGCTGGAAGACCAATATTAACAAAAAATAATAAATAGCCTTACAGGAACAATAATTGACATTTTCGGCAAGCTTTGGTCATTTTCTGCCGGAGGACCTCCCGGAGGACCAACCTGGTGGATGACTTACCGCTGGAAGACCAGTTTTAACAAAAATTTCTGGATGACCATACAGGGCCAATAATTGCCATTAATGGCTAGTTTTGGTCATTTTCTACCGGAGGACTTTCTAAAGGACCGCCCTAAAGGAAAAATAACTACTTAAAGACCAACATTTGAGAAACATTTGAAAAACCGTTTGGACCCTTTTGCTAAAAACCAACTATCTCAGGGCCAATATAACAAAAATTGCCTAAACAGTCAAAAAAACTTTGGGATGCCATAAATCCATGATAGACACAACAGAAACTGCATGTTTCTTAAAACCGTTTTCTTCGATATTATGCGTAAACAAAGCCTTAACATAAATTAAACTAAGTCTGAGAATCAAAGCCGACCCGAAGGGAAGGCCACGCCTGTTTATTAAATTCAGTCAGGAACAGGACGAAGCCGACCCGAAGGTAAGGCCACACCTGTTTATTCAATTCAATCAGGGACAGAGCGAAGCCGACCCGAAGGGGAGGCCACGCCTGTTTATTCAATTCAGTCAGGGACAGGGCGAAGCCGACCCGAAGGGGAGGCGACGCCTGCTAATTCAATCCAGTCAGGGACAGGGCGAGGCTGGACCGAAGGGGAGGCAACGCCTTATTATTAAATTCAGTCAGGGATAGGGCGAAGCCGACCCGAGGGGGAGGCAGCGCCTGTTTATTCAATTCAGTCAGGGACGGGGCGAAGCCGACCCGAAGGGGAGGCAACGCCTGTTCATTCAATGCAGTCAGGGATAGGGCGAAGCCGACCCGAAGGGGAGGCCACACCTGTTTGTTCAATTCAGTCAGGGACGGGGCGAAGCCGACCCGAAGGGGAGGCATCGCCTGTTTTTACGATTCAGTCAGGGACGGGGCGAAGCCGACCCGAAGGGGAGGCAACGCCTCTTTATTAAATTCAGTCAGGGACAGGGCGAAGCCGACCCGAAGGGGATGCCAGGCCTTTTTATATAATTCAGTCAGGGACCGGGTAAAGCAGACCCGAAGTGGAGGCAACGCCTGTTAATTAAATTCAGTCAGGGACAGGGCGAAGCCGATCCAAAGGGGAGGCCAGGCCTGTTTATTCAATCGAATTGAGAGGGAACCAAGCCGACCCGAACGGGGGCAGTCCCATTTATATAATTCAGTCTGAGACAAGGCCAAGCCGACCCGGAGGGGGGGCAGCTTCGATCAGACAAGTCAGTCTCAAGATGGGCCAAGCCGACGCGAAGGATCGGCCAGTCCCGATTAGACAATTCAGTCTGAGGTGGGGCCAAGCCGACCCGAAGAGGAGGCATGCCCTGTTTACTTTATCCAGGTTAAGACGGGGCCAAGCCGACCCGAAGGGAAGGCCAGTCCCGTTAATTCAATTTTGTCCGAGACGGTGCAAAGCCGACCCGAAGAGGAGGCAAGCCCTGTTTACACTATTCAGTCTGAAACGGGGCCAAGCAGACCCGAATTATCTCCTCGATCGCAGCTAAGGCACGTTGCTTCTGCAAACAAGTCTTAGGCGCCTGGAGCACAAATCCACATGTCCGCCCTTGAAGCCCACTTTGGACAATTTGATTATAGCCCTGGCCGCTTGTCGGAGAAAGCTTGCCGCAGCTGCTGAGGGTAAAGTCAAACTAGATTTCATCTAAGCTTATGGGCACTGTCATGTCCCAAAAGAGCCGTTCAAAGTGATAGACTGCTTAATCGTCTTTTTCGACAGATATTTCTTTAAAATGTATTCTAGTCATGTTTTTTTCTACAAGAATGCATTCAAGAACAAAATTCTTGCTTTTCAACAAAAAGTTTCTGCTGACTTTCTGAGTCGATAATGAACAATTTTCTCCAGAATTTTGGTTAAATATCTTGAAAAAAAACACAAGAACCACTGAACTAACATCGGACACAGAAGTGTTGCTTCAAATAGTTGCTACTAGCCGTTTTGTGGTACAAGGGCTCGGGGTCTAGACAACCTGGTATGACACAACAAAAACTTTGACCTCGAAAAAATCTGAAGAAAAAAGAATTGAGCATGTCATAATTATTAAGTTTTTGAAATTAAAATTATAAAAATAATAATAATAATTGGTCATTATAATTTTGAAGTGTCAATCGTATTATCTCTGTCTCTCTCTTATATATCTCTTCAAACTGTTTTTGTTTTGATTAAAAACTCATATTTTCAAGACGCTCTAGAAGAAAAAATAACAAACAAAATACTGCTTGATTTCGCAATATTTATTTTGGTGCCAGGTTCTGATAAAAATCGGTCCGAACAAAGGGTCAACTTCCGCCGAGAACAATGGGCTCAACCCTCGGGGGGAACAAAAAGATCCATGTTGCTCGGACCCCGGCACTAAATTCTAACTACTGAGGTGAAATTCTTTCAGTGATGATTGCAGATTGTTAGTGTTCTTTTTCAGCTTCTTTTCGAATTCTCGGAAGCTTCTTGAAATTTTTGTACTGTTCTTAGGGCTGAAAATGATAGAAGTGACGAACTCGGAAGAAAAGCTCGAATTTCATTATTCTATGATTCAGTTTTAATAATTATATTGTAAAATAAATTTATCGCAAGAAATCAGAGTGTTTGAGAGGCTTGACTTAATCTTTGTTTCTTTGCATCCTCGGTAAATGACATATTTTTTTGATCAATTCTATCCAAACATCATCAAAGATGCATCCTCGAAGATGGGAGTCTGGATTCTCCATCGGTCAAAGCTTCATATATGCAACATCGAAGAAAGAATCGTCGTTGATGCCGCGTTTCTTCATATAAAGTGTCGTCTTGCATCGACATTTGTTCAGCATTCTTTTTAAACATTCTATCCTAGTTTTTCAAGGAAACTCTTAACAGATTTGAAACCTCCAGCCCAAAATAAGTACAACGGGCGACATAAACGTTTATTCGATTCGAAATTTGAACATTTCTGTGGAACACTTGTTCTCGGACAAAGAGCTTGTTTTCTTATTTTCAGTCAGAAAGCGCAATAAATTCGACATGTACTCGTCGATCCATTACCATCATCATCAAATTCCTCAAATTCTATTTTAATCGGTGATCTGAAGGAATTAAATAAACTGGACTGGCCGACCCTTCGGATGGTTGACGGCGGGAGTGAGTCTTTGTAAAGACTGAGTCTTCGCGCAAAGACTCAGTCTTTTTCTTCGGGCAGTGAGTCTTTTTTTTAGAAAAATAAAAGACTGAGTCTTTTTCGAACAATTGTTTACGTCTCTAGAAAAAAATTTGTTATTTCTTCTGAATCATTTCTATCCATCAGTTTCTTATTGAACATGAAGGAATAACCTAAAAGTCAGTAAAAATGACATTTCAAACCATTTTCTGACCGTCTGTGCGTTCCGCGCTTGTCTTAGAGGAAATTCATTGATAAAACAGGTTATACGTTTACCGCTTCGAC